TTTTTTTTATATTATCACGCAGGATTATAAATATTATAAAAATTATATAGATAAATTTGTTAACGCCTAACTCCGCTTAGTCCCCGATTAATCCCTCTAGGCGCTAGACCCCTAACGAACGCCTAGCGATTTTTTGAACATTGGTTTTAGGACAAGCTTCCAAAGAGGAAAGTGACAAACAATAAATGACGTATACTATGTATTCTGAATCTCTACAGTTTAGTCTTTAGATGTTTGTGACATAAAGGAAATACGGAAATTACTAGTCCTAAGGCAGTGACACTAAGTCACTAACACAGACTTACCTCTTTGGACTTTTCTGTTACATCTTTCCTTTGGACAAATAATAAAGTTCATAGGGTTTTTTCTCTCTTTATTATGCAAATTTTATTTAGTTATGCTACTTAATTCAATTTAAAGACATTAAACAGGCCACTAAAACAAACTTAGAACTTTGTCAATGGTGATAAGGCAAACCCTTTTGGTTTTATTCGTAAATTTGTTATGTTAAAAAAATATCTAAAGCCACCAATTGATCAGAGAGGTGTTTCTCGTTGACTTTCTGTTGACTATTTATTTTAACCAATTTGGCCAAAATCAAATCTTTTAGATACGGTCATCAATAACACTACAAGATAAATTATCATGAAGAATGCAAGAAGACGAGATCAAAGTTACAAAAAAAGGGTCCATTCTTTAATGTTGCAAAAAGGGTTTTTTGATCATAATCAAGGTGCAAAGAGATGATGTAAATTGTTCCATGGTTTCATCCACACTAATGCATATTACCACAGTTTTTGTAAAACATCTCCTACCGGGGTTTACGATATGCCAAATGATCATTTTCCGACATTGTCCGGTACCTGTAACAACATGAATCATTAACTTTAAACCAGCTGAAATCTAAGGAAAGAGAGGTCTCATATGGCGATTTCGTGTTTTATACCTTACAAGATGACTTTGGGTAGAGGATATCGTAATGGCCTGGACGATATAGCAAGGTTATAAAAGGTGCAGAAGCTTCTTCTTTCTCATTTGTGCCCGCAGGAACAAAGTCATGATGGTTCACAGTGACGCCTCCGTTATCACATGAGCTACGGTCAAGATACATAACCCGTATTGCAACACCAAGCGCGTCCGACAACGCGGTTATGTGGATATGGTCACTCTCTTCCCCCATTGGTTCAACCGATGACTTGCAAAACTATAACAAAACAGTGTTAGCTAGATTCACCTATACTCTAGTCTCTAATAATCTATTAGGAGGAAATCAAAGGTTGGTAGCATCCAATTTAAATGACCTTTTCTTTACTGTAAAAGCATCTATAAACTAACATAGAACATCTTTCGTTTTATATTTCTGCCTAATGTTACGATGGAAAACTGGAAACGTTCCACTAAATGGAGAGAATTCATCTTTGGTTTCAGAGGTTACACGAGTAAGTTCTTGTTGCTGAAAGACTTTAAAGCAACAGAAATACCACAGGAGTAAGTTCTTGTGACACTTTCATAGACCAAGTGGCTTGAATCCAAAGCATGATAAGTGTATGTACAAACCTGATCCACTGTTGCGTTTGATAATCCTGTTATAAAGGGTTCGAAAAATTCTGCACGTGTTCGTATTTCACCAGCAGTAACAAACCTGAAGAACATTACAACTGAGACACCAAAATTTGTCAAAACTATGCTCATTCGAATATGCATTGCCAAAGAAATTAGAAGGAACTTACTATAGTCGGAGACTGACTGATCTCTACTTCTGTTAACCAGCTCCTCATAGCTGCAAGAGAAAGACATTTGCACAAGCGATTGAGATAATATGAGGACAGACTTCCTAGCAGTTACTCAGAACTTATCCACACAAAAAACAGAAAAACATAACAAAGACCTCAAATGCGAACTAAATACCTTATAGACTCCTCACTTCCTTGTAGAATATCATCTAATTGCTCAAGAAACAACTGTATCAATAAGAAATTTCAAACTGAGTATTTTTAGATGAGTCTAACCAGATTTAAATGGCAGACACAAAAGAAAATAAATCTTGAAAACGAAACAAGGTGGTGATGTTACCGCAAAGAAGTCCTCGAATGTAAAATCTGTATAACCTAAGTTTTGCAGAGTCTTTCTACATTTCTCAACATTGACCTTGATACGATCAACTTCAGCACGATCTTGTGATTCCAAAATATGCTCCTACAGATAAAAAAACAACTTCAGCCTAGAGATAGAGAATCCACGACTAACCAAAAGGGCAAAGTTCAAAACCGTAAACTACACAACCAAAAGCTTTAAGACGTTTGAAGAACATACAAGGTAAGAGAACATAAAACTTCGGAAGAAGCAATTTCCATCGCCTCTTGTTCGCCTTATTGCAGTATATTGATTCTCCAGTATCTACAAGTATAGCAAACATGATAAAATATATAAAAACTGAAAGCACCAAAGCAAGAACAGGAGACGAAGAAGCAGAAAGACACGGAAAGAAAGTCAACCTTTATCTTCTCCAGCAAAATGGGACTCCCAGATTGATACTCTGCAGCTAAACTAGAGAGAGGTTCCTGCACAACATTGAATCAAAACAGGAAAAGGTTGCTCATTGACATGAAATAAAGTCACATAGACATTCCCAAGCAACTCACAAAACAAACTTCACTTCTAATCAAATGCAAGATATCAATTCTTCCAAAAGATGATTCATTTATAGTTTTGATTAGCTTCGGACCTTATCACCAACATAAGGAACTTTTGCAGATTCTTCTTCTTGAAAAGATGGTTCATCTTCCAAAGTTGAACAATTTCCCCATTCTTCATACTTAATCTCCGAAATCGATGAAGCGATTTCCGATTCATCCTTCAACAAATCATTCTGATTCTGCATCGTCACTACACACACACACACAAACTCTCTCTAGCTTAAAGACAATTCAAATCCAAAACTTCACAGTATAATCAACTGATCATCATAAGAAATCGACAAATCTGACAAGAACAAGCAAACGTTGATAAAGAAAATCAATGGCGGATGATAAAAGGAGAAAGGAATCGAATTTACCTGAAAAGAAAGATCGATTGAAGGAAACTTTCCTAAAAGTTGTGATCTTTCGACCTAATTTGGAACACTGTGCAATGTTTTACAAGAAGAGTGGGGAAGAAAAAGAGAGGTCCTTTAGAAAAATTTCTCAAATTGGGGAAACCAAAATTTCATCGTTTTGATTAGAGGGGTAGAAAAGGTAAGAGACGTTTCGCTTTTTCCCAAAGTACTAAATTGGATATTAATTTTTTTTTTCCAAGATAAATAAAATTAAAAGACGGAATTTTTTAATGTCTAGATTTATTTTTAACGTCTACTAAAAATATCATTTAATATATTTAATAAAAATAATTTGACCAATTATACAAAAAACTGCATAATACTAATGGTCACACAGTATTCAATAAAGTTAATAGTACATAGGATTGTCAAAACAACTTATATTTTGAAATAAAAAAAAAACCTCCAAAAACAACTTACAATTTTTAAACGGAGGGAG